GATAGGGAGAAAATATTTGCAAACCATATATTTAGTAAGGGATCAAAATACAAAATACATAAAGAACTCATACAATTCGGTAACAGAACAACAACAACAACAAAATCCGATTAAATAATGGGCAGAGGACCTGAATAGACATTTTTCCAAAGAAGACATACAGATGGCCAACAGGTACATGAAAAGATGCTCAAGATCACTAATCATCAGAGAAATGCAAACCAAAACCACAATGAGATATCACCTTATACCTGGCTATCATCGAAAAGGCAAGAGATAACAAGCATTGGTGAGGATGTAGAGAAAAGGGAACCCATGTGCACTGTTGGTGGGAATATAAATTGGTACACCAATTGCAGAAAACAGTATGGAGGTTCCACAAAAAATTAAAAATAGAACCACCATCAGCAATCCCACTTCTGGAATATATCTAAAGGAAATGAAAACAAGATATCAAGGAGATATCTGCACCCCCATGTTTGTTGCAGCATTATTCACAATAGCCAAGATAAGGAAACATCCTAAGTGTCCATTTATGAATGAATGGATAAAGAATGTGGGAGATTGAGATAGATAAAATGGACTATAATTCAGCCATGAGAAAGAAGGAAATCCTGCAATTTGCAACAACATGGATGGACTTTGAAGGCATTATGCTAAGTGAAATAAGTCAGACAGTCAGACAGAGATAGACAAATACTACAAGATATCACTTATATGTGAAATCTAAAACAACTAAACTCATAGAAACAGAGTATTAAGGTAGTTACCAGGGGATGGGGGATGGAGGAAATGAGGAGATATTGGTCAAAGGGTACAAATTTCCAGTTAGAAGATTTAAAATTTCTGGGGATCTAATGCACAGCATTGTGATTATAGTAATAATAATGTATTACATAATTGAAAGCTGTTAAGAAAGTAAATCTTAAGTGTTCTCACCACACAAAAGTAATGGTAATTGTGTGACATGATGGAGATATTAGTTAATACTATGGTGGTAATCGTTTTGAAGTATTAAGTGTACAAATATTAAGGGTACAAATCAACACGTTGTACATCTTAAACAGTGTTGTATGTCAATTATATCTCAATGAGGCTGGAAAAAAGAGACTAGTGTATATACAAGGTCTGCTCAAGATATCTCAGTAGATCACAAAATAAGCATTATGAAGTCTTGGAATGAGAAGACTGTGGGATAGTTTAGGGGAAAGTAAAACAGTGACAACACTAAAGTAGATTTAGCATACAGAGGATTCACAACAGTGTTGTTAATGGAATGAGCTATTTCCGTCCTGTTCTTTTAGTCAGTAGAGCACAGTTATAGTCAGGGTATTGCAGTCAGACAGACCTGAGTTTATATCCTGGCTTTACTTTGTAACCTTGACCAAATTACTTAATATCGCTATGCCTTAGTTTTCTCACTATATAACAGAGATAAATAAGGGTACCTACCTTGTTGGGTGGTTAGAAGGATTAAATGAAATAATGTGTTGCAATGTCTGACCCAATAAATGCTAATTCTTGTTACTTAAGGACTGTCTAGAGTTTCAGGCAAAATATCGAAGATTTGGGCTTCCCTAGTGGCACAGTGGTTAAGAATCCGCCTGCCAATGCAGGGGACACGGGTTTGAGCCCTGGTCCGGGAAGATCCCACGTGCTGTGGAGCAACTAAGCCCATGCACCACAACTACTGAGCCTGCCCTCTAGAGCCCGCATGCCACAACTACTGAAGACCCCGTGCCTAGAGCCCGTGCTCCGCAACAAGAGAATACACTGCAATGAGAAGCCAGGGCACCACAACGAAGAGTAGCCCCTGCTCACCGTAACTAGAGAGAGCTTGCGTGCAGCAATGAAGACCCAACGCAGCCAAAAAAAAAAAAAAAAAAAAAAAATCGAAGACTTGGTGAGTGTAAACGTATACTAAAGACAATATACAACCCATTCAAGCCAATCTAGATTTTATTCAAATAGGAATATAAATTATAAATTTTATTAAGTATTTATAAATTATTATTATTATTTTGCTAATCTCAAACTGTATTTCCTTAATAAATAAAATTTGGTCATTGGGCAAAATACTAGTGGAAAATATGATTGCTTTGTTAAGAGTTAGTTTAGGAGTTCTCACACAGCATTAACAGCAGTTACTCAGTTTTCTTCCCTTCACCATGTCTAGCTTAGAAACCTTAAACACGGTAGCTGCTAAATGCCTTGCCTGTGGCAGGTACTCAATACAGCAGAACGGAACTGATTTTTAGGCAGCCCACTTGAACAGTGCTGTTTGAAATTTCTTTTACAAGTGACAAAGAATTTAATTTTACATTTTGAGACAAGACCCAATAGCACGGTGGTTAAGAATATGGGTCTTGAAGACATAGAGATCTACATGTGAATCCTGACTTTGTGCAAGTGACCCAAGGCAAGTTAATCTTTCTAAGCTTCTTTCTTTGTTTATCAAATTGGGATAATAAGGAAAGGGATGCACTTAGTACAGTGCTTGGCACATGGAAAGCATTCGTTTAACAAGTGATTTATACCAAAGTTCAGATAAAGCAGCTTGAGAAAGATCAGTGCACTTGGACTTGTGGGAAGTGCTTCAAATTTTGGTGTAAAAGCCAACGCACATAGTTTTCTCTCACAAAAGGGAAAACACCTCAATATCAGCCCTAAAGACTCCATAGCAACTTACACATATTTTTAACCATATGGATCTTTTCTTCTGGTATAAACTAAACTATATTTAGCACATATAAAACTTTCATGTTGAAAGTACTTTACAAGTAAGCATAAACTTTTTGAGAGGACATAAAAATTATAGAAAATAAGTACACTTATGAAAATGCATTTAAAATTTATGTAATAATTAAAATGAAAATTTACTTTGAGCAAAATTGTAATGTTCCTAAATTAACTGATTTTGTATTCTGCTGTAACCTAAACCTGGCTGATGCATCTCTGTTCTGTGATGTGACACAGCTTCCTGAAGAAAATAAAAATTCTAAGACAGAACATTAAATTATTTGAAAATTCATATATCGTATTCATATAATATATTCATATATCAGAGAAATTTGGTATTGTGGTATTTTATTAAGGAAGGTAGATAAAAATATAGTGAGCTATGGAAATTTTTATGAAATGATCATAAATTCAAAAATAGCAATTCACCAAATGATAATTTTCAAATAATTAAAAAATATAGTTTATGAATCTATTTAGAAACACACCTCAGCATTCTATGTAAAGCATGAGTAATCATAATTTTCAAAATAATCATATTTTTTACCTTAATTTTTCTTCACTGGTAGGAAATTAAAATGATGACAAGAATAACTTATTATATCATAATAGATTATTTTATCTTTTGAATAAAATTAGGACTCTTCAAATACTCTTTTATTATATATATTCTTATAGGAACAACATTAGAGGAACTTTAAAAATCAGCTGTAGTTAATGTTATGCTTCCATAACCAATTATAATATAGAATTTTATAATTAGTATTTCATAATAGGGCCATATTGTCATTGGCTGACCAAAATATTACAATTTTAAACTTCCAATTTTCATTAATAAAAATTTCAACAAGTGTTCAACACTTCTTTTTACTTAATAATGCTTCAGCTCTGGAAGATACAATGGGTTAAAAATTAGACTTTTCTGTTTTTATATATATAAAATAATTTATTTGATTATTTGATTATCACAATAATTTATGTGATTAAAAAACTGAAAGTCTTGGGCTTCCCTGATGGCACAGTGGTTGAGAATCTGCCTGCTATGCAGGGGACACGGGTTCGAGCCCTGGTCTGGGAGGATCCCACATGCCGCGGAGCAACTAGGCCCGTGAGCCACAGCTACTGAGCCTGAGCGTCTGGAGCCTGTGCTCCGCAACAAGAGAGGCCGCAATAGTGAGAAGCCCGCGCACCACGATGAAGAGTGGCCCCTGCTTGCCACAACTAGAGAAAGCCCTCGCACAGAAACGAAGACGCAACACAGCAAAAATAAATAAATTAATTAATAAACTCCTACCCCCAACATCTTCAAAAAAAAAAACTGAAAGTCTTATTGGTAATATTTCTGACTTACATTTCCAATATCTTTAATAATTTAAATAACAGGAAAGAACACACTTCTATTACTATACTTAGAGAAAAAGAAATGCATAAGAGAAATGTGTAGTGGAGAATTTCACAACATTTATTTTCTGATTTATTTTCAAATTTGTAATTAAGTTTAACCAAATAGAAAAGTTAGAAAATTAAAGATATCAATACTGGAGAGGGTGTGGAGAAAAGAGAACCCTCTTGCACTGTTGGTGGGAATGTAGATTGATACAGCCACCATGGAGAACAGTATGGAGTTTCCTTAAAAAAACTAAAAATAGAATGACCATATGACTGAGCAATCCCACTACTGGGCATATACCCTGAGAAAACCATAATTCAAAAAGACACATGCACCCCAATGTTCATTGCAGCACTATTTACAATAGCCAGGTCATGGAAGCAACCTAAATGCCCATCAACAGACAAATGGATAAAGAAGATGTGGTACATATATACAATGGAATATTACTCAGCCATAAAAAGGAACAAAATTGGGTCATTTGTAGAGATGTGGATGGATCTAGAGACTGTCATACAGAGTGAAGTAAGTCAGAAAGAGAAAAACAAATATCGTATATTAACGCATATATGTGGAACCTAGAAAAATGGTACAGATGAACCGGTTTGCAGGGCAGAAACTGAGACACAGATGTAGAGAACAAACGTATGGACACCAAGGGGGGAAGTGGTGGGTGGTGGTGGTGGTGGTGGTGGGATGAATTGGTCTGGGATTGACATGTATACACTAATATGTATAAAACAGATAACTAATAAGAAACTGCTGCATAAAAATAAACAAATAAAATTCAAAAATTCAAAAAAAAAGAAAGAAAATTAAAGATATCAAAAGGTTTAAGTTAAGCCAAACAGAAATTTAAAAAATCACTAACCCAAAGCATGCACTGCTCCTCTATGCCTGCTGGAGCTCTTGCTTGTTTTAATCACACGGACAGCATTTTCTTTGAACTGCAGCTCACAAAAATTTTCAAGAAATTTTGCCATTTCTTCTGTAACTGTATCCAGGTAAGTTTCTTTAATGAATTTCACTGTTGAGGATGGAGCTAAAATTTCACGTAGTGTGTTAAAATCCTCTTTTATCATTGAGTATAACTTAAGCATTGTACCTTGGTATCCATCAGCCATTATGTCTAAATTTGCTTCTCTGCTGTAAGAAGGAAAACAGTTCTGCAGAAGTTTAGTCAACAGTTTATTCTGTATGTTTTGGTACTTGATTGTAACTTCTGATTCTGGATAAAGAAATAAGAGTTGTTGTATGCATTGTTTTTTCAACAGTATTTTTTGCTGTGAATTGTTTATTTCATTGTGGGTTTGTAATTTGCTCACTAAGAAGCGTCGAAGATGTAGTCTTATATCATCCCATATAGACTTTACATCCATAGAGGAATGATCTTCAACAGAATGAAGAGAAGTACTAGAGAGGAAATGGAAAGATGTTCCACTTAGAATGGATGGGAAGGAAACACTGCTGTGGCAGGAGAGGTCCCAAAGTAAATCCAATACCATTTCTTCTTGATTTTGTTCATTCTTCAACAAATTTTGCTAATAAAAGTAAATTATAATGTTAGAAATGTGATTAACTATAAGAGTAGCAAGAAAAAATGATTTCTACAATCATACAGAATTTCATAATAATTCATTTCAATTTAGAATCAATACGATGATGTTTTCAAAAAAAACTTATTTTTGCATTTGAAAGTTAATCTATTCAGACATTTCAGAATATTATCTTTATGGTCTGTTAAATTTTGTAAAGCCCAGGTGATGAACTAATTTTTCAATTAGATTTCTCAACACATAGTTTTTAGCCTTCGTTGTTATCCATTCCTGATATAACCTGAGCTGTATGGAAGCTTTAGCTTAAAAATTCTAAATAAAAATCTATAGTAAAATATCGACTGAAATGTACTCCTAAGACAAAATAAATTTAAGATCATGCCCCTAATTAATACCTAGTAGATAATTTTCATGCCTGAATGAGTATACTTATTATTATAAATTCCCAAATGAACATAGAGAACAGAGACCTTTAAACATAGTATGTGCCTAGGGGTTACTAATAGCTGCCATCCTGAGAAATAAAAGTTAATACATTTAAAGACTTTAACTTTCATTTAAATTCGTTTTTGAGAGTCATGTTAAGAAAGATTTTACTTTGGAAAGTAATCTGAGAATATTTCAGTTCTCTCCAAAGAAATAACTAACTCAAAATGGGAAAAATTACTCTCAGAATTGTTCCTCAAAACATAAGAAAAATTTTTGTATATTTTCTGTGTCAACTGACAGAAACAATAGTAGATGTAATTAGGAATAGAAAAAAGACAAAAATTTACTTTGTTTTTGGACTTTGAATTACATGCACAAATTCTCCTTACATGCTGACTCTCCTAATTATGTCTATTTCAGGTAGTACTGAAATTAGCTTATATCCTCTAAGTAGCAACAAGCTGATTATTTAAAAAAAAACCTAAAAATGGAAGCAAGGTTCAAGCAGTATAAAATCAAGTCAGCTTGGAAATTACCTATTGACAAAGGTATTATGTGTGACTCAGAAAAATGAACAACTCCTAGACAAATTCCAGGGCTCTCTCTCAGTCATTCTAAGCATTGTGATCTCTAATTTAATGTTCTGTCTGTAATAAATAATAATGCCTAATATTTATGTAGTAGTTTATTATATAAAAAGCACTTTTTGATACAGTCTCTGACTTCTTCATAATGAAAACTCTGTGACATAGATACTTAAAACCTCAATTTACAGATAAGGACACTAAAGTGCAGAGTGTTTAAGTTACTTGCCAAATGTCACACACAGTAAAGCACAGAACCAAGAATGGATGCCTGGTTTCATTCTCCTCATCCATGTTCTTTCTACTACACTCTAGAGAACCAAAAAGTGAACTGACTTTTCTGAAGCTCTCCTTCCTCTCTTCCTTTTTATTTAGTTCTTTTGGTACTTCTGGAAAATAAATGTCCTTAGATAGAGTCCAGAACTCCAGCATTATGGTAAATTCTATAGAGCAAACTGGTCATATTAGTGCCTCAGACTTGGGTTTCTTTATATCAGTCAATAACTGTAAATATTTGATCAAGCAAACATTTAAAGAATGATAGATTTAAAACATGTGGACATGTATTAAGTATGATTGCTTAAATTTGGAAAATGACTTCATACAACTGCCATAATAAGAAGCTCTGTTTCTTATTTAGTTAGATAATTAATAAATAAAAATTTTCTATGGAAAAAAAAATAGATGTATGAAAAAAATTCTGTCAAGATTGACACTTTCAGCATGTAAAAACTTGACAAGGTCGTTTTAATCTGGATCTGTTTTCATAATGTGGTTCTTTTCTCAAAATAACATGATCAATTATGTTAAAACACCTAGGTCTGGAAGAGGCCTATCAGTCTAATGAATTTGAGCAAGACTAAGGCGGCCTTTGCCCTGCAGTGAATAGAGAATGACTTATGTGTGACAGATTAAAAGATAATTAAAAGCTTTTGCTTTTAATTAAATGAGAAAGCATTATTATATCAATATTAATGAAATTCATTACACACGGCTCTTAATAGAAATTAAAGGAATAACTATATCCATATTTATTCTTCAAGGCTCCACCTTCAAGAGATAATGGGTGAGAGGATTTTCTTAAAAGACTAAGCCTTCAGGGCACATAATCTTCCTTTCTCTTTCTTTTATTACTTTCTAAACATTTAAGAGACATCTGCAATAATAACAATAGTCAAAAATTATTTTCATCTGATTCTGTCATCCTAAGCCAACTACAACCTTAAGATATTTTCCACATCTGCCTTAGTCAATGTTTGATGCTTACACAAAAACAGTGCCTTTCTTCCCTAAATTAAATTAAAACCGTAGCTACAGAAATCCTGTTTTCTAACAATTGTGCTGTTTCTCTAGTTCTTGGAAGCTAGCTACCCTTGTAGATACAGGTGTAATAAAATAAGTATTGCTTATTGAAGGCTACAAAAACCTCTCTAACATAGAGAGTGGTCAGTATCCAAGAATGACCAATGTAATAATTCTCCATCAATTAACAGTGTCCTATAAATTGCTGCCTTGATTGAAAAGAATTGGATATGCCTGCAGCTTGGGGATGAAGGGAATAATGGACAAGGCTACTTAATAGATACAACTGATGATGATCTTATTGTGCTTAGTAATGAGCACAAGAAAATGAGTAGTTGTGAAGGGACACAAAATGTAATAGATACCAACTTTTCTGATAGATAATCGTGGTACATTTCAGTACATTTTGTGGTGTTGATATGGTATACATCACACCACAAATCCCTCAGGAATTATAATGTTTAATGTCCATTTATGTAAAACCTCATTTTATTATAAAAATCATAGCAAAAAATAAAAACACATAGCTCACTGGATTCCACTGAGGATATAGAAACAAAACACAAATCCTAACCCCTAGATATGGCGGGCTAATATGGTCAATGGAATAAATATTTACATACAGAAATTGAATGAAATGTATTCCATGTTCACCCACCCCACTCCACTGTTAAAACAAAGATTCTATTTTTTTTTTTTTTTTTTTTACCAGTGCTTTGAGAAATTTTATCATATCTCCATGGGGAATGGATGGTGACTTGGATGAATTATAATTATAATTATTTAGCCATTCAAAACAGTCAGTTGTTGTTCGTAGCTGCACATCTGGACACTGTTTGTTAACTTCAGACTGTATTTCTTTAATGCAGTGTTCTATGCTATAAAAAAGAAAAGAAAAAATTATTTTGGTAGGAAGTAGGTAATGGCTCTGTCTCATAATATCACAGATCCTGAAATGTTTATATGCAGTGCCCGGTGGCACACAATTTACAAAATTATAAAACATTCATATATGAAAATAGTAACAAAGAAACTATATTTTCATTCATAATTGAAAACTGAAAGCTCAAATTTTCTGGCCATTTCATTTCAAACGCAATAGAGGAAACATATCTAGCTACTCAAAGATGAATTAAAAATTCCTTTGTGTTAAATGAAAAATCAAGTATAGATGCAATGAAATAATGATCCTCTTGATAAGCAAGCAGTGGATGGAAGACAGAGGCAAAATATTCTTGATGACCGAAATCAGAAACATACACTATATACTAATATGTGAATGACTATATAAATTATGGAAAATCTCAATCAGTGCAATATTAAGAAATCACAAAAGTTACAAAGAACTTATAATTTTTAAAGTTGTAAAAGATACATGCTATATATACACTGTTACTACAGCTAAGTGCCTTTTCCTGCCATCAACCTCTACTCCAAAAAAAAAAAAACCCCAAAACATGCTAAAGATTGCATGTTAAAAAAAAAGACTGGAAGGAAATGAAACAAAAGGTTAATAGCAATTATCCCTGGGTGATGAAATTTGGTGTTTTTTACTTTTCTTTATTTTCTAAATTTTTTGAAGGCATAAGATGAAACTCTTCATTTACAAATAAATAAACAGGATGCCCAACTGCATCTTCCAATATATATATGTTTAAAAAATTCCGTTAAAAGTATCCTTAGCTCTGAAACTAAAAAGATGTACTATTTTATTTTAATTTTCATTTAAAAATCTGTGCATTCATTATCATAAATCTTTGTGGAGTAAACTGGTGACCTTAAGCATAATGTCATCTGTGGAGCCACATGGATATGACATATTACTACCACCTGATGGCAGCATATCTAAACTGCAAGAAAGCTTTATAAACAGGAAAATTATTTTGAAGCTGAATCCCTTCACCCCAAACTGACAAGTTATGCATTTGCCTCTTAATAGTATTAAGAAACATCTGTTACTAAAAAGGTTACTACTGTTTTGAAAATATCATTGCTATTAATTATTGATTCCATGTGATAGAAACACGGAGGCTTTGGAAACCAAGCTCTGATGATTAAAATTGATGTCATATGAAATTCTCTTCTTCGAAATTCGTATAAGGTATTGGTTCCATATAAAACATACACTAAAACTTTAAGGGAAATTTTTCAGGAGACTTCTGAGCATGAGCGAATTCAAACTAAATTACCTTGAAAAAAATACATTCTGAGAATCAAAGAGCCTTTTCATGAAAACAAAGAACTTGCAAGAAAAACAATACCTCCTTAGGCCACAGGCCACTCAGTTTCCTGATGAGACAGTCTTACTCAGGAATACCAGTTCTAAGTCTGACACAAGATTGGCATATATTTTCTTAATTTACGTAAGCACTTCTATGGACGGAGAAACACGATGCCCAAAGCACATACCTTGACTCTAGGGACTGGTTATCAAAGGTTTTTATTATAGCATCCTCCTGTGTCTCACTCAGTCAAACCTAATAGATTACAGCAATGTGAACTGGAAAGGCTCAGCCGTTAGTTTACCTAAATCTATTTCAATCAAGACTCAGCTTTTAGGCTAATCTCTAACATGTGAATCTGGGTAGAGGCCAATAACTACAACTTATAAATAGAGTAAAGCCTTCAGAGAGCTAGATATTTTAGTAATTTGTCCAAACACTGATAAAGGGATTGAGCAGTTGCATTTCAGAGGACCTCCCTCATTGATACAAACTAAGACAGTTGAGCTGGCTTTTAAATCATTTTGTCACAAGTTTTAAAATGACAGAATTCACCTGTACCTGATGCTGTTTTTATGTGGCTAAATGTCTTGTCATTCTGCCATTCACCACTGTCTGTACATCTTGCTTTAAAAGTCTGAAGTCTAGAGATTTATCTCCTGATTATTATTCAAAGTGAATACTTTCAAAATTTAAGATGCATATCAGTTTGGCAATTTATCTTCTTTAACTGAGGTCAAAATTAATTTAAAAATTAATTTTCAACATCGAAAAGGTAACATATTATTTTCATATATGTGTAGTAACATTGCTGATGGAGATGGTGATCTTGGGTGGGAGGAGGTCTATATATATCTTCAGACTTAAATGATGCAAGATCTTGATCTAGCTTTTCAGAAATAACATGATACTTCTCTTTATTCTGGTTTAGGTGTTTCTGTTTTACTGTAAGTTGCTTCTAATTTTCTTTAGAAACAAGGTCAGTCGTAAAAATATAACCAAGGTAATTCGGCAAATAGAAATCCAGTTAGCACATTCATTAACCAAAAATGTCAAAAGTCTAATGTAGATGTAGAATCTCTGCCCTAAACAGTTTAAATTCCCAAATTTACACCATTAGTTGGCTTAGCAAGGACTTTCTAAAAGCATATTCTTAAGTTTATTTGTAATATTAAAACCACTGAAAATACCCTAAATTTCCAACAATAGGAGAATAGTTATATTCATTCAGTGAAATAGTCATGAAAATAAACTAGAAATACAGTTACCAACATAGATGAATCTAACAAACGTAATGTTGAGAGGGAAAAAGGTATAAATGAACACAAACCATTCAGTAGTTTGAAAACATGCCATACGATCCTACATGTTGTTCAGGATTATAAAAATATGTAGTAAAAGTGTAAAGAACCGTGCTGGAAAAAGGAGTACAATCTATAAAAATGCTGAATCACTGTGATGTACACCTGAAACTAATACAGTATTTTATTTTATTTTAATTTTTGAATTTTAATTTATTTTTTTATACTGCAGGTTCTTATTAGTCATCAATTTTATACACATCAGTATATACATGTCAATCCCAATAGCCCAATTCAGCACACCACCATCCCCACCCCTCCCACGGCTTTCCTCCCCTGGTGTCCATACGTCTGTTCTCTACATCTGTGTCTCAACTTGCGCCCTGCTAACCAGTTCATCTGTACCATTCTTCTAGGTTCCACATACATGTGTTAATATATGATATTTGTTTTTCTCTTTCTGACTTACTTCACTCTGTGAAGTAAGAGTCTCTAGATCCATCCACGTCTCATTCTTTTACATGTAGCTGTCCAGTTTTCCCAGCACCACTTATTGAAGACACTGTCTTTTCTCCATTGTATATCTTTGTCTCCTTTGTCATAGATTAGTTGACCATAGGTGCGTGGTTTATCGCTGGGCTTTCTATCTTGTTCCATTGATCTATGTTTCTGTTTTTGTGCCAGTACCATATTGTCTTAATTACTGTAGCTTTGGAGTATAGTCTGAAGTCAGGGAGTCTGATTCCTCCAGCTCCTTTTTCCCTCAAGACTGCTTTGGCTATTCGGGGTCTTCTGTGTCTCCATACAAATTTTAAGATTTTTGTTCTAGTTCCGTAAAAAATACCATTGGTAATTTGATAGGGATTGCATTGAAACTGTAGATTGCTTTGGGTAGCATAGTCATTTTCACAATATTGATTCTTCCAATCCAAGAACATGGTATACCTTTTCATCTGTTGGTATCATCTTTAATTTCTTTCATCAGTGTCTTATAGTTTTCTGCATACAGGTCTTTTGTCTCCCTAGGTAGGTTTATTCCTAGGTATTTTATTCTTTTTCTTGCAATGGTAAATGGAAGTGTTTCCTTAATTTCTCTTTCAGATTTTTCATCATTAGTATATAGGAATGCAAGAGATTTCTGTGTATTAATTTTGTATCCTGCAACTTTACCAAATTCATTGATTAGCTCTAGTTGTTTTCTGGTGGCATTTTTAGGATTCTCTATGTATAGTATCAGGTCATCTGCAAACAGTGACAGTTTTACTTCTGCTTTTCAAATTTGTATTCCTTTTATTTCTTTTTCTTCTCTGATAGCCGTGGCTAGGACTTCCAAAACTATGTTGAATAACAGTGGTGAGAGTGGACATCCTTGTCTTGTTCCTGATCTCAGAGGAAATGCTTTCAGTTTTTCACCATTGAGAAGGATGTTTGCTGTGGGTTTGTTGTATATGGCCTTTATTATGTTGAGGTAGGTTCCCTCTATGCCCACTTTCTGGAGAGTTTTTATCATAAATGGGTGTTTAATTTTGTCAAAAGCTTTTTCTGCATCTATTAAGATGATCATATGGTTTTTATTCTTCAATTTGTTAATACGGTGTATCACATTGATTGATTTGCATGTACTGAAGAATCCTTCATCCCTGGGATAAATCCCACTTGATCATGGTGTATGATCCTTTTAATGTGCTGTTGGATTCTGTTTGCTAGTATTTTGTTGAGGATTTTTGCATCTATATTCATCAGTGATACTGGTCTGTAATTTTCTTTTTTTGTAGTACCTTTGTCTGGTTTTGGTATCAGGGTGATGGTGGCCTCATAGAATGAGTTTGGGAGTGTTCCTTCCTCTGCAATTTTTTGGAAGAGTTTGAGAAGGATGGGTGTTACCTCTTCTCTAAATGTTTGATAGAATTTGCCTGTGAAGCCATCTGGTCCTGGGCTTTTGTTTGTTGGAAGATTTTTAATCACAGTTTCAATTTCATTACTTGTGATTGGTCTGTTCATATTTTCTATTTCTTCCTGGTTCAGTCTTGGAAAGTGATACCTTTCTAAGAATTTATCCATTTCTTCCAGGTTGTCCATTTTATTGGCATAGAATTGCTTGTAGTAGTCTCTTAGGATGCTTCGTATTTCTGCGGTGTCTGTTGTAACTTCTCCTTTTTCATTTCTAATTTTATTGATTTGAGTCCTCTCCCTCTTTTTTTTTTTTTTTTTTCCCTGTGGTATGCGGGCCTCTCACTGTTGTGGCCTCTCCCGTTGCGGAGCATAGGCTCTGGACGCACAGGCTCAGCGGCCATGGCTCAGGGGCCTAGGTGCTCCACGGCATGTGGGATCTTCCCAGACCGGGGCACAAACCTG